TGCTCTCTCCTACGAGCAATCCTACGCGCACTTGGCACAGGCTCCTCAGGAACCTCCTCGTCACTGCTGCCAGCCCCCACATTCTCCGAAGGCAGCAGTCCACTCCCTAATGGTCCTGTCCCCTCATCTGAGTCCTCGCTCTCCTGGGCCGTCCACACCTGCTGCCGGCTAACCACAACAGCCTGATACAATGGTCACAAGTGTGAAAAAAAGTCGTAAGTGGCTTTTTTTCCAGTGCTGTGGTAACTTGGAACAGTCACTAAGTTGAGGATTACCTGTACTTCATTGTAAAGGCTAAATTCACAGAGTCTTGCAGGTCTGAGAATGCAAATCTCTCACCGTCTCTTTTTAGAGCCTGATAAACTAGTGAGAAACCTTTCTGGGTTTCTTCCTCTACTTGTTATACAGCTGCAGGATATGCAGTCTCTTCTCTGGCTGTTCCCTAGAATAGGGGTCGCCAACCTCTTGGACCTCAGGGGCCAGCAAACTCATCCTTTTAAATCCCTCGGACCAGAGACCCCCTGGGAAAATCCCCCCCAAAAGTCTGCAGGAAAATCCCCCACCCCGTTTTCCTACCGATTGATCATTCTTACTTTGGGATCGCAGGATACCGTCTCCTGCTCCGGGCTCGGGAGGGGGGGGGGGAGAGAGAGAGAGAGAGAGAGAGAGAGAGACTTTTGGCTTCATGCAAGGAAAGCAGCAGAAGCTGCAGAAGACTTTCTTTCTCTCCCCCAAACTCCGCCAGAAATGGGTCTTTTGTGCCGGTGCAGCCTCTTGGAGCAGGAGGCCTTGCAGGGTCCCAAAGACTCATTTCTGGTGGAGTTTGGGGGAGAGAAAGAAAGACTTTGGCTGCTTTCCTTGCGTGCAGCCAAAAGCAGAAGAAGAAAGAACCGGAGAGAAGCAGCCCCGTGGCCAGGCCAGGCACGTGCGGCAAGTGGGACAAGTTCCCTCCCCTCCTCCCTTTGCCCCCTCCCCTCATTACCTTGTGTTGTGTGCAATGCAAGTGATGCAAGCCTTGTGTTCCCGCAGGCCATGTGGGCGGCGCAGCCTTGTGTTCCTGCGCAGCCTGGATTAATTGCTTTGGGAGGGACATTTCTCTGCAGACCAGCAAAATTTTCTCAACACACCACCAGTGGTCCCTGAGACAGCCTCTCTTCCCTCTGTCTCCCAAGGCCTTTCCCGCATACCCTTACGTTCTCCAACGGCCCTGTGTCCCCTCCTCTGACCTCATGGGGTCCCCTTCCGCTGTTCTTTCCCCTGAGTCCCGATTTCTCCCTCCTTCCAGACAAACCGATGCAGCTGAACCAGTCGCTCTTCATGTTGGGCGGGCGCAGCGGCTACGTCCTGCAGCCGGACATGATGCGGGACGACCTCTTCGACCCTTTCGACAAGGGCAGCCTGAAGCACGTGGAGCCCATCACTGTCCAGTTGCAGGTCAGTCAGCTGGGACCTCGCGGGAGGCCTCCAGAGGGGGGTCTTCAGCAGGTTCGGACCGGTTCTGGAGAACCGGTAGCGGAAATTTAGAATAGTTGGGAGAACCAGCCAATCCCCACCCCTCTGACTGGCCCCGCCAACCCCCCCATCTCTTCTCCGCCTCCCATTGAGTCCCAGCTGATCGGGCTGGGTCTCCTTTGGTTGCCCTGCACAGGAGAACGGAGCTGGAAAGCAGGTTAAGTGGGGTGAGGAGGGAATGGGATTTTGCAGTAACCTTCCCCTGCCATGCCCACCAAGCCACACCCACCAAGCTATGCCACACCCACCAAGTCTCGCCCACAGAACCGGTAGTAAAATATTTTTGAATCCCAATGGATGGATGGATAGAGAGAGAGACAGATTGAGAGATGGATGATGGATGGATGGATGGATGGATGGATGGGTGGGTAGGTAGGTGGGTAGATATAATTAGGTTGAGAGAGAAAAAGAGATGGTAGATGGATGGCTGGATGATAAAGAGAGAGATGGTAGATGGATGGATGGATGGATAAGTAGGTAGGTAGATATAACTAGATTGAGAGAGAGATGGTAGATGGATGGATGATAGAGATGATGGATGGATGGATGGATGGATAAGTAGGTAGGTAGATATAACTAGATTGAGAGAGAGAGATGGTAGATGGATGGATGGATGGATGATAGAGATGATGGATGGATGGATGGATGGATAAGTAGGTAGGTAGATATAAGTAGATTGAGAGAGAGAGAGATGGTAGATGGATGGATGGATGATAGAGATGATGGATGGATGGATGGATAAGTAGGTAGATAGATATAACTAGATTGAGAGAGAGAGAGATGGTAGATGGATGGATGGATGATAGAGATGATGGATGGATGGATGGATAAGTAGGTAGGTAGATATAACTAGATTGAGAGAGAGAGAGATGGTAGATGGATGGATGGATGGATGATCAAGAGAAAAATGATGGATGGATGGATAAGTAGGTAGGTAGATATAAGTAGATTGAGAAAGAGAGAGATGATGGATGGATGGATGAATGATAGAGAAAGAGATGATTGAGACCTGATTGGCTGGATCTTCTTTGGTTGCTCTGCACAGAGAACAGAGCTGGAAAGCAGGTTAGTGGGATGGGGAGGGAAGGGGGATTTTGCAGTATATCCTTCCCCTGCCACGCCCACCAAGCCACGCCCACAGAACTGGTAGTAAAAAAAGTTTGAATCCCACCACTGGATGCCTCCCTCTGCCCCCTCTGGCTTGGCTACCCCTTTTGAGGGTCCTGCCTTGCCCGCCTAACCCAACCCGTTCTTCCTCCCCTCCAGATCTTAGGGGCCCGGCACTTGCCCAAAAATGGCCGCAGCATTGTTTGCCCGTTCGTGGAGGTGGAGGTGTGCGGCTCGGAGTTCGACAACAGCAAAAACAAGACAGATGTCGTAGGTAGGAAACCGGGGAATGGCCCGGCGTCTTGTGGGTCGGTCCGAACGCAACCAACGCTTCCAAAACCCGGGGACGCGTCTGAACCGATGTTGGAGAGGGGGAGGCTTGCGTTGCCTCTGAACCTTCTCTTTCACGGAGCCACACCTTGCCCAGGTGCACCAGGTTACCGGCTGGAGACACCTCGATCCACTGAGCAAATTCAGAGACGCTGAAGGTTCCCCCCAGGCTGGGACAGACAGAGGAGTCTCATTTCGGGGTGGGCTGCTCTGGGTTCGCAAATGAACGTGATTTATTTTTTATTTTTTTTGTCCTTTCCACTCAGCCGACAACGGCCTCAACCCCCTCTGGCTACACAAGCAGTTTATCTTCGACATCAACAACCCCCAGTTCGCCTTTCTCCGCTTGGTGGTTTATGAGGAAGACATGTTCAGCGACCCCAACTTCTTGGCCCAGGCCACCTTCCCTGTCAAAAGCCTCAAAACAGGTACCTGGCTCAGCCCCTCCCATTCCCCCATCCCAGCCCTCGCGAAATTTGCATGCTTCCCCCACCCCCCCAGTATGTGAACGGTGGGTTCCAGGGGGGTGGGATTCAAAGATTTTTACCCACCAGTTTGGTGGGGGTGGCTTGGCACACACTTTGCATGCGTGGGCCAAACACGGTGTCGGGACTACGAAAAATCCACCCTCATTCAAATCCTTAGTCTCTAGCCCCATGTTGGTGAACGTGTGGAACGCATGTCAGAAGTAGCACACAGAGCCATTCCCCCCCCCCCCCCCAGGCACGCGAGAGGTCACTTGGAAGAGCCCCACTGCGCATGCGCACTGCCGCCAGACAGCTGATTGTCGGGTATCTGGCGCACAGGCGCAGGGGGCGGGGGGGTGCATGGGAGACGCATGCGCAGAAATGCGCGGTGTTCTGTATTCTGTGCAGTGGTAGATGTTGTCTTCTGTACAGATGCAGATAGATAAAGTCAACAAAACATTGATACAAAGTCTTTATTATTATTGGTTCATCAGGCATCCTCATAACTCACATTTGTGACAAAGTTCTTCTTAATGTCCAATCCTTTGCATAGCTGTCTTGTAGGTAAAAAGAGGGTTATCTCCTTATATTCCTTATTCCTCCCATCTCGTAGCGGTAGAGGTAGAGCAGCTACCACGAGTCCATGAGTTCAGGCAAGAGTGAAGAAACCTCCCCCAACCCATCGAGGGTCAATTGAGTGACCAATCAGGACTACAGATGTGGTCAGTTGACATGGACTACATTTCCTAGGATACCTTAACTACATTTACCATGATGCATTCCCTTAAGGGGACAGCTCCCAATTGCTGACTAACTATCCAATTCCCATACACAGGCTGGACAGCACACGCAGCGCTTCCACGGGTGTCTCGCACACATGCGCGGAGACGGACGGCGTGCGAGGGGGGATCGCGCGCACGCGCATGCACAGGGGGCGTGGGGGGGGGCAGCACGAATTGCCTTCTGAGTGGTGGCACGTGATTATTGGCAGGGGAGCCTAAAAAGGTTAGCCACCACTGCTGCAGCCGCATCTCAGAGTAAAAAAGAAAAAAAAGGATTTATTAGGAGTGAACACGCCGGCGCTACCTGGGTGCAGCCGACTCTGAGACACATCATTCATTTCCCCCTTGAGCTTGGTCTTCCCCCCCACCTCCTGGATGTATATTCTCCAATGGGACACATCCATAGCCAAGAGTCATCAATCAGGCTCTCCAGTAATAATCTTGCGCGCCAACAGCTTCGGCTGCCTAGCTATTATCTGAAGCATTTAAGGAATGCACTGCATCCCTCACTCCCTTTCTGCTGGCAACTCTAAAAGACCAAAGAAGTATTTTTTTATTGACACACACACTTTGCGCAGGCGCAGAGGCGTTCCAACTCGCCCCCTGCAAGCCTGCACTCTCCCAAGAGCAGAGCAGTGGAGAGAACTGGTTTGGTCTCTTGCCGCTCATCAGCGCTACCGGCTCGACAGAACCAGGTCAAACCAGGTAGAATACCACCACTGGCGGATTCCCATGGGATTGCCAATTGTGACTTTCCCAGCTGCTTTCCAACAA